TCTCCTTTGCTTTGGTTACAGGAAAGCCATTGAGAAGCATAAGCCATGCAAAATAAACCCAAAAACGTGTGTTCTGGCTTGACATCCAGTGTTCATAACTGGAGACCACAGCTGTGGACTATATTGCAACATACATGTGTACAGATAATGTCAGTAATCCTTCTACTATAGGGCTGTAGGAATAAAAATAGTCAGCTCAAATACCTCACCATTCCTTCCCAAAAACTCAAGCAACCCATCCTCATCAAGTACAGAGCCAACTTGAACTCCTGTCCAGAAATCTAGGAAACTCAGTTACCAGATCTGAAAATATCAGATTTCACCACATCCAATTCATAGGCACTGAGGCCAAGTATTTGAAACCTCCAGAAACATACCTGTGCAGAAGGAACAAGAATCAAAATAAACTTAAGAAACTTTCTAAGTCAACTATATTAGGTAAGAATCTTCTCCCACATGTAGACAGCCATTAACCTCGTTCCTGACCCTTATGGTTATGAGGGACTAGTAGACAGTACATTCAAACATTAGCCCCTGTATCACTCCTCTGCGTGTCACTAGGGTTGTTTTTCAGGGTTGGCACAAACTGAACTTGGAGCAGGTCCAGTTCACACCGTAGATGTGCTGCTTCTGCAGGCGCTCTGCAAGAGGCCACAGCTGATGATGCAGATTTACAGCTCTGGAGCTGATCAAGAGGGCAACTGCTACAATCCCTCTGCCAACGTCAGCCCTTAAAATGGCTAATTTCAAATCCATCCATGCCCTCTCCCTTCAGAGAGGGACCTGGGCTGTTGGGGAAAAAAAAGTGGAATTCTTGCCACACAGAATATGTTTATGGAAGAAAACTTTTTCCAACTTCCCTTACGCCCGGGCACTCCAGATTACATCAACCCAATCCCATTCTTCAATCACACTGCTGTACTTCCAACGGGTCTTCATTACACAAAAGAGATAATGACATTTTATTATCTTAAACTTTAAAATTGAAAGCAACTTTATATTAACCAAGATGTCTATCCTTAACACCTACTTAGTACGTTTTCCATATTCACTCATATGCTGCCAAAGAAGTTATTTTTTGTACAGCCTCACTACCCACACAAAGCACTCAAAAAAACCCAACCCAACCAGACAACACCTCACAGTTGTTTACTGAAAGGCACCAAAAGAAAGTCCCTGTCCTTACTGTTTCAAGTCAGAATTCAGGACATAATTTAATAATTAGCTTAAGATTTAAGATTAAAATCTGCAGTACCCATCAGTCACATCAGAATTCTCCAATACAACACTACCTTTTTCACTACAGATAATGAACAGATGCTTAGGGCTAATGGTCTTTTCTGTCACCATTTGAGGTTTTCTGCTACAGTCACTGTTACCCCAATTTGTTTATAAATCCATTTTTTAGTATCTAAAACACATTGCAGATTTCCTTTCAGCAGCTGATGCCCAAGAACCAGGTTTTACATTGTGTAAAGACAGAAAGCTTCCCAAGAGCCCTGCACAGTCCAAAGATTAAGGTACTTTTCTAAGTCTAATTAGGTACTAAATCAGGTCTGCTACCAATTGCAGACTATTTAGAGAGGAGGGAGAAGATGCATCTTGTGCTCTTTTCTCTTGCCCTTAATCAACAATTCCTTCCTGGGAACAAAGATCCACCTTACTTGACATTTTCTTGAAACTGACTCTTTCCTAAACAAACCAATGTTTAGTAGAAGAATGTATATGGCCAGAAAAATATTTAATTAATTTTTGTGTGTACAAAAACCAAAACACCACACACACACCCCAAAACCTAGAAACATTCTGTCCCAAGTAAATATACTACACCAGGCTTCCAGGCTAATTTTCCCTCTTCTTTGTATCTCCAATAGAGAAAAAAAATTTCAATCTTAGAAAGTTACTCATGCCAATGAAAGTCAGTTACTTCAATATTTAGACAAGGTTAGCACAAATGGAAATGACTTGCTATCAAGACAAATCATATGTGACGACTACTAGAGTTTATGCAATATTTTACCAGGTTGCTATGCTATAAAGTCTCGAATTTCCTCTTAGATCTTTCTCCTACATTTGTAATTAGTCCAAATAATAAGATTTCATTTTAATTATTAATGACTGTGGTGAAAGCAGTTTTGATTTCTTGATCCACGCAACATTAAGAGAAAATCTAGTCAAATGACTGCCTACTTGAATCACTTTAATTCATGTTTTAGACCAAGTGACAGAGTTTCAGAAAGAACAGGTTAGGCACTCTTATTGAAGTAGGAGGTAAGCATTAGAGGCTGTTCCAAAGAGAGCGCTTTATTTTAACAGAATAATTCCTTTGTCAAAGACCTAGTTCTTCATAAAGGGACTAGGGGTGGGAAGGGAGCAACAGAAACATGTAAGACGACAGGAATGAAAACAGGAAGAAAGTTAAAAATGTAAAGGAGAATCTACATCCAAAGTTGAACGTTAAAAAAAGGTGGAAAAATACCTGCAAAGCTGCAACTAGTTTTATAACTTTTGTAATGTTTAAATATATTTTAATTTCATGACTGGATGCACACTGCTTAGGGGAATTCTAGCGTTCACTAAAATGACATCTCCACTAGAAAGTGCTGTTGATAGCATTTGTCCTGGCATACAGTTGCCAGTACGTCAATAAAAATGCGTGCATCTTTGCTTTGATACTTACGTGTTTTAGTCTGTCCTCATAGATCCGTTTTCACAGGTATCTGCTCGTGACCACCACAGTAAAAGTTTCTGCTTTTCATCACTTCTTTTCCCTGAAGATCAAGGCTGGCCTTTCCACTGATAGGTGGATGGTGTGGCTCGAACCTCGAAGTGCATGGCTTCATATAAACAGCCATTCACAAGATACACAAATGTAGCACATAGGAAACAATAAGGAGCAAAGTCTGAGGTTTTCCTATGAAGATCACCAGAGTGAAGTAGAGACCTTCTTCGTTTCACCGGTGTCAACAGCTTCATAAATCACAAGTACTTTTGGGAGAATATCCAAGAACAACATTCCATAGTTGAGACCAGTGGGATGGGATTTGTCTGGGTCCTCAGCAGATGCCGTGCCAATTTAAACATTGTTAATTTATTATGAGCAGCAGTGATCCAAACAGATATATTATTCATAAGAAAATCAAAGGCCCAAGGAAGAGGGCTACATATAATTACTTGTTTCAGGTCTCTTTGCAGAGATGATTGCACCATGAGAAAACTGTGCCAGCCAAGACACTCTACAAACTGGTGGAGAGCCAGACTAAAAAGCTACCCGATTTATGCTTAAAGACAGACACTGCAAGTTCAAGTAATTATTTTACCTTTAGAGCATGAGACGAACTTAACAGAGGACCATTTATGTCACATTTATGCTCAGTTGACAGACCATTTGCATGAGGTTAGATAGGCTGAATGCAAGTTACTTATGAAAGGATCCTTTGCCATCTTTGTATACACTCAGGTGCGACTCAAAACACAACATAAAGTCATCTTGAACTTGGCCACTGCACTAAGATTACAAAACTACAACCACCATAACAGCCATCTAGTCTCACTCAGACCCTGGGCTTATAGAGTCAGTGCTCAGTAACCTACACTGAATTTACAATGAATTCATAATGCATGACTTCAGTATTACTTCCTAAATCTAGGTAGTTACAAAGAATGAATTGAAGGTTGGTCAGATGATCACTGAAAACAGCAGCAACGGAAAGGAGAAAAAGGAGAGGGAAGGAGGAAGAAGAGGAAGAGACAAAAGGGAGTTAAGCTCTTATAGGTGGAATGAATGAAAAAAAAAGGAGCGGTGTACATGCACGTGACTAATTGGTTCAACTTCATCTGTAAATTGACACAAGCAAGTTAAGCAGCTGCAGGCCCACATAATTTGGTTCAACTTGGTATCACCACATCAATTTAACTAAAGCGATATAAACAGCAGGTTTAGAATCAGGTCCTGTTAAACTTTGGTCAAAGCAGCAGTTGCTACCTGGGACCGTGTTCCATCACCAGCACTAAAAAAAAAAAAAAAAAAAAAAAAGTCACTTACTGACAACAGATTAAAATGCTCTCTGGACCAAAGCTTGTATCCTCCTTCTCCAGACAGACACTCTGTTTGAGAGTCATGCTTATATGCTGGAATGCTACATAAGTGAAATTAAACAAGAAGGTAGATGATGTCCTACAACCAGTCTCATATGGCCTAGGTAGTGTTACACATAGATGGATGCTCGCATTATCAGATTATCTGTATTAAAGGAGCAGAAGCTGCTACCTGTAATGGAGCAATCCCTACTCTAAGCCTGACAAGACCCAGTTCCTAAAGAGGTTTCCAGCGTGTGAATCCCAAGCAGAATCAGCTATTTACACTCTGATCCTCTCAACTGGAGGACAAATGCTTATGTCCTCACCTTTCATATGTGCCAGCTTAGGTAGTTCTCCAGCTCATACGATTACCGTTCTAAGGCATTGGCTGTTTCTTTTAAACAAGTAGCAAGTGTAGCTACTTCATTCAGGGATGACAATCTTGCGTCCAGTTTTAAGTACCATAATGCTGAATATTGTAATATCTCTGTGCTTCCATTTGTGAATCTAGCTATAGATACTGGGTCATAAAGAGTGTCAAATAATGCCAAAAGACAAACACCTGGGATAATTAATCCCCCAGTAAATATTTACATCCAATTCAGTGTTGAAAAGAATGAAAATCTACCCAGTACAAACAAAACTTACGCTGCAGCCAAGGGCCACTTCCAAGCCTGTGAGAAGTCTGCCAAACAAGGCAGGACATTTCTTCCATGAAAACCAAATTAAGCACAAAGCAGATATTGTAATATTATCCAGCTCTCAAATAACTGACAAGCTAGGTTTTAAAAAGGTACAGACTGGACTTTCCATAGTTAAGATAAACACAAACATTAATCTTGGGCTTCTAATTATATTGTTTATTTATAGTTAAACGTTAACATCTGAACAGAAATCTGCAAGCACGCAGGGATACTCTTTCAGTGATGTTTCTGTTTAAACTGAAGTCCACAGTAGCCACATGTTCCGGTCTTTGTATCTTTGTCCTGCAAAAATATAAAATACAACAGCTGCTAGTTTCACTTTATAGAACTTTTAGAAATTACAAATATTCTCTTACTTACGTGTGCCATCTTAAAATCAATCAATATAGCTAAAGTACAGCATTTAATCTGATTTGAAACACTAGAAGTAAGAATGATGGTATGAGGTTCATGCTCGATTTCTGTATCCTACACAGCTTCCCTTCTGCCAGCCTTTTAACTACCAGGCTTAATATCAACAATATAATTTTAACATCAAGCCAAGTGATATCTCTTCAGCAATAAAGGATCCTCTTACCAAACTGGACATCTTAAGTCAGTTCAGTCATACCTGTTCCAATGTTCTGAAAAAATTATTCCATAATTATTTTAATACAGAATATGATTTGGCATTTCCAAGTTATATCTGGGCAAGAATTTTGACCAGTAATGTAAGCTGACAGAGTCAGTTGCAGGAAGGAGGAAATTTCAGTAGAGTTCTGGGAGAAATTCTGAAAGAAAACGTTTTAGAGAAAAGTCGCAGTTACTACTGTATAAAATTTTATTCTTCTCTCCAAAAGATGCAAATATTTTTTCAAATTTAGAAATGTGACTGACTGTGAGCTGTTATTGCAGTCCTTCCTAACATGATAAAACACAAGACAGTTAAATAAACACTCAGGGACTCTCTGTTTTTTTAGCAACATAACTACTTGCAGTGATGAAACGAAGTAAACTCATGGTTCCCCTTCCTTAACACACAATTATAAATGAAGAATCCAGACTATCCTCCACCCCTGAAAGCCTGGATTTCATTTATTAGGGCTAGGGGAAACAAGCTAGTCTAATACCATTCTCTCTGCAAACATTAGCTTTCAAGAACTGAACCACAGACATCTTGCAATTTGGTTGTTAGCACAAAAAGACCTCAAAATTCACGAAAACTATTCTTCAAAAAGAGCATGGTCCAGGTCAAACAAATCAACATAAATGCAACGGATCAGCAGTGTGCTACAGAAGTTAGTGTAAGACTGAAGAACGCAAGCTTCCTAAGTGTTATGAATTAGAACCTCTGAGCGTTTGACTTTGAACTAAGAACTTTGTAATGATTCATTTTACATTATTGAAAATATAAATACTTACGTTTATAGTTAAGAGTCACAACAACACTGACACTAAAGGACACCAGCTCTCCCCACCATTCTTTTGGGTATTAAGCAAATGTCAAAGTTGAGGTGAGCAAGCAAAGATTTTAAGACATTTGCAGTCAGGGTCTAACTGAGTATGGTACCTAAGCCACACGACATCATTGATTCCACTGAGGTCATATGACAGCAGCCTCCATATATTTACTCTGTAGAATAAGAACACACTGGAAACTATAACTGCTGTCAATAGGAGGATAAGACAACATTTATTCTTCACTGATTCTCTGACCATGATTGAAACATTCAATCTGCAGATCTGCCAATATTCCCAAAGACTGAAAGAGGGGTTGGTTGGTTTGTTTGTTGGGTTTGGGGTTTTTTCCCCTCTTGTTTTCCTTGAACTTGTAAGATTGAGAATAAATTACATATTCCTAATAATATTACAAATGTATTGTCAATCGACATGGTGGCATTTAAATAATTACAGTGTCTCAAAACACATCATGTTATTTTTTGCTCCCAAGGCACTGCTTGTCCATATTACTTGTTAATATCTTTTTTCAAAAAAAAAAAAAAGTTATTGTCCTATCAAACAAATCAAAATTTCAAAAAGAAATTTCTGTAACTTCAAGTGGAAGCCCTGTAACTCTTCAGATTAGAAATCTTAATTTTATATTAGGCACCAAATAAAAAGAGCATCTTGGGCGGTTACTCCTTTTACTTTGTTAAACTAACATGACAAAAAGTAGATAATCTTACAAACAAGAATTTACAGGCAAAAGATGCTATACACGCAGAACAAAGATATTACCAAGTTTATGTATACTTTAGGATGTCCCAAAGCTCCACCACCACCATCGCATGATATCACTCTACTTTCAACTTCACTCACAGGCTGTTCTGCTATCAAATCAATCGCAAAATTCTTGTTCACCTGTAAGAGAAAAAGGAAGCTTTCAGATACCTTCCCCACTCAGACAGAAAACAATTGCCATTTACTACCTCCCCAAGCAGTTCCACTACAGTCATCTTGAGAAGTTCCTGCATAGGTTTCCTCTCACCTCCTACACCAACTCTTAGGCTGTGCTATAAGCCAGATCAGTGAACTATGCATATTAAACTCTGCAAAAGTAATCCCCTTCCCCTGATATACAGGCCACATCAGTGCTCAGGTTTACAACGTGACCTAAGCAGATTCAGAGGAGAGGTGAGCAGGAACAGAAGATATTTAACTGACATTGCCTCTGTATTATGCTTTAGCGACTACATGACAAAACTGCAAAAGACTGACTGCTGATAAACTCAAAACTAATAGTAGGACAAGTAAGGTCAGGAGTGAGATAAAACAACTGCTGGTAATTTAGAGCCTCTCACCATGCACCTTATTCTATCACTGCACAGGAATCTCAGGAAAACATGAGCATGGTACGCAACAATCAGAAAGGCAAACTGTTCAGCATTAAAAAAAAAAAAAGAAAAACCTCTAAATGTCACTATGCCACTCTGTAAATCCATCTTATACACTTCCTGAATATGCACATCACTGACAAGTAGAGTTTTTTCCTAGAGCATACCTGAGTGGCCTGGCAAACGTATCCACCTTTGGACAGCCCTGTGACACAGCACCTGGTGCCTCAGCAGGACCTACAGCACCCAGCCACAGCACTTGCTTTGCTTTCTTGCCCACACCAGCTTCTTCCCACCCGGTCTGCACCAGCACTGAGCAGACAACCAACCCTACCCCTCAGGGAAACGTGCTCCAGGAAGGGCCAGCTTTTTCAAAGGCAATGTTATACACGCACGAATACAAAAAGAGATGCATGCCCAAAGAAGGCACTACCCACTGCTCTGCGTACAGGGTGCATAAACACGTTGGTATTTGAATGAAGATGAGATTCTTAGGAAAAAGATAGCTAAGCGTCCATTAAATGAATCCCTAAGAAGTAAAATGGTATTTTTACGTAGTCCTAGTACACAAGAACTTAGGATCTTTCACCAAGCCTCCAATTAAATCTTCCCAAAATTTGCATTTTTGGTACAGCAGTGGAAAAGTCAGTTTTTGCCAACAACTGGATTTTCTTTACCTAAAGAAGATGATAGCTAAATAAAGTTAAAAAAATTAACTTTCAGTAATGAAACAAATTGGTAACATCAAGAACCTCACTGCCTGGGGGCTGTGTCAGCAAGTCATATATAAACTTTGCCAACTGCTGCTTTTAATAATACTCAAAATTGTGCATCCTTCATCTAACACTAAAGAAGGAGGGATATAGCACCATGGTACACCTCTGCTTCAGAAGCAGAACTCCACTCTTCCAAACATTTCTTAACTACAAAGGTAGTTATAGGGAAAGGGAGGAAGCAAGAACCACCACAGAGCTATGACTTGTCTGTGGTTCAGACTACCAAAAAACATCTAGGAATTTGTATGGAAAACATGCCAGGGGAAAGAAAAAAAACCCCAAAACCCAAAAATCACCCGAGCAAAAAACTGTGAAGGGGGGAAAGTAGTTTCAGTTACATCATGTCCCTTCAATTAAAGCACAGAGGTAGTTAAGCAGGAAGGGGCTGTTTCCCTCAGCACATCCAAACACTGCTTGCGCAATGCATAATTCCATGAGCAATTTTTTTTTTCCTGCCCGTAGTGCCACTTTGACAATCCCATTGCTGCTTCTTTCCACCTACTTGCCTGTGCCAGTACATTGTCCAGGAGGCCAAGAGATAAAACCAAACTCAGAACAGACCCAGATGCAAAGATCCAGAGGGAAGGAGGAGGTTGTATTTAAACCGCACCAGCTCTGAAGTCAGTTCTCACAGCTTCAGCTGCTGCACCAGCCCAAGAGAAAGGGAAGAGCCGAAGCGGGACTGGCGGTGCTGAATTAGGCCCTGTGGTACCTCAGGGATTGTACGAGGGCAGGATGACCCTAGTCAGACTGCAGCAGATGCAGTTTAGCAGCTGCCATGCTCAGTCCTCTCACAGCTACTTGCTTTAGGCCCTTGCCAGAGAGCACTAATCCCTCAGTTCTGCATGTCCAGCGCAGAGAACAACGGTTTTAGCTAAAATGCATGGATTTCATTAACAATTAGGCTGGCAGAACTGAGGGGACAATATACACATACTCTGGGCCATGTCCCCGGGCCTGGCCACCTGCAGCACCCCGGCGTGGGCCCAGACATCCTCGCTGAGGGCACCCGTGTCCAGAGGCCGCATCCCGCGACAAGAAGGCTGCCACGGCCAGATGGGGCCGGTCACACGCCAGGCTCCACCACCCGGAGCGTACCAAAGGTGAAGAGAAACGGCCGAGAAAGTACAGTCACCAACTTCACTGGCTAGCTTTAGCTTCAGAAACAAGACAAAGTTCTGACTACAGACATGGCTGGGAAACCCTAACGCTTGCAGCTGAAACACGCTAGGGGATAATGGCAAAGTCCCTAAAAAGAGATCCCCTTAATACGGGACAGATGAGGACCCTTTTAGTATTTAACATGTAAATTTTGTTCCAATTTCACAATTAAAACCTAGCATTAAACCTTACTCAGCAGACTTAAAGCTTGTCTTTTGCCAGAGGAGGAGGAACTGGGCTGAACTGAAAACCCTGGGTGTTCCTTGCCACAGAGTCTGAAAAGCGCTGCTGGCAGAGGCATATCAGAGGGACCTGCGCCCCATGGACACTTAGGCTTAGGGAGCATTTCTTACAAAGCTACAGAAATAGCACAGAAACAGGCATTGCATTTGAGAGAGACCTACTTTGCCACTATCGTCCCAGAAGAAAGTACTTCAGCATTTTAAGTGACATTTTCATTTAACTACCTCCCATGTAGAATCCCTATTTTTGCCACACAGCACGAGTTAAATTGTATCCATGATACAATGAGGTAAACTCAATACAAAAACTCAGAAATCAGCATAATTAGTTCAGGTTAATTTAGGAAGGGAATAATTATACACAACTGCATTAAAAAACTACCACACCTTATATTCAATGCCTGTACTATACATACACATTTCTAGCATTAACACTGAGGCACTAATCAGATGCTCAGGCATTGAGGAATACAATTTAGCTGAAACACTCTGTTTCTCTCCCAAAGGCCAGCAGATCCCTCATGGAGCTGTGCTGCTCGATCATTAGAAAGAACTTGGTGCTAAAGGACTAACAATTTCACATACCCACTCTATTGATGAGCAGCAGCAACAGGCCCACAAGATAACTTCACAGTAGTACATTTGGCTGGTGCTACTAAGCTTTACCTTTGAGGCTTTGTTATTTCAGAATACTCCAAATTTTAGTTTTATTTGTCACATCACTGTTTCAGCAAATGCTTCCCAGGCTCTGGAAATGAAGTGCCCTCATTAAAAACTCAGTTTGGGTAAAGATCAAGATTTTAACTCTGCAGAAGCAAATGAAGCTTCAAAACACACATTTAAACAGATAATTAGATGCATAATTTAGCAGAGCATTTAATTATGTGATTTTTCTAAATACAAATGGCACTAAAAACATGCTTAATTTTTTTTTAAATACATGCTTAAACAAAGTTTTCCACATGCAAGATGCTCAAATGCCTACAACATCCACAACCTAGATGTAAGCACTTAACAGGTGTAAAGAAAGTCTTGAATTTTCCAAATTTACCAGAAGTAGGGAGGTATACAGAAGTCACTATAAGCCGTAGTGAAAAAAACACTGAAACCCAAAATCTAGAACAGTTTTGTTTGGTTGGTTTTGGTTGTGGTTTTTGTGTTTGGTTGATTTGTCGTGTGTTTTTTTTGTAACGACAATCAAGCTGAGGACATCAATATCAGATACAAAAAACCCCACAAACCACCTCATCTCCCATGAGTAAAAGTAGAATGAGTTACCTCCTTTTGTCGTCCAATAAATCTAACTCTTCTATAATCCTTTTCTTCATACACCTGAGGTATAAAATAAACTTGATCTTATTTAAAAAGTAATGACCACAAACAAAGAACACGAAGGCTTACAACACTGTCAAGACTAAATAGTTTAAATTCTTTCCTCAGTTTTAAGTATTGCCATCATCTTACAAGCACATACTGCACAGAAATAGTAGATTGGAAAGCAAAAAGAAAAAAGAGGTGGGGGTTAAAGCCAGTAAACAGAAGTTTTAGCTCTGACCATGGAGACAAACAGAAGATTTATTATTTATAATTATGTTCCTTGATCCCACACTGCCATCTGGAAGGTGAAGTAAACTAGGACATTCAAGTTTCATATTTATTTATGTTCGAGTCCAGTAGCCAGAGTGAAAACCTTCCCAAGTTAGCTCCACCAGCCGAGCCGTCCCCCCTCATGTCTCCACAAGCTGTTAACAAGCCTCCCCATGTTCAGTTTTTACATTAAAGAACAGATAAAACGAAGTGAGGAGGCACTGGCAAAAGGATACCTCCTGCCTACCAACTCTCCAGCTGTGTCAAACGCTGGATCCAGCCCACCACGCTTAGTAATGGTTAATGACCCTGCTCCTACCTTTTTTGAAACCGCACATACCTTTTACCTACGTATCATCCGAGAGCGTTAATTTCCACAGCGCGTACTAAAGGAAGCAGCTCACCAGCGTGCCGCTCGCAGCACCGGGACCATTTTACCGCAGGTGCCGGCACGGCGGGAGACGCGGCCCGGACGCACCCACCCTCCCCGGACAGCAGAGGAGCAGCGCCGACCCACGGACCGCT